CTATGCAATTGATAGCCTCCTCATGCATACACATCTAACTGGTGACAGTCCAATCATGGACCTTAAAAGAGCTAATATAAGATGTCACTTCATTTTGTTTTCAATCATGTTTCATCCATATAAATTATGGCATGGAAAATAAAATATACTACCTCTTCTTTTTAATATAAAAGCTAGTTGAGAGTTAAATTTGATAATTTGATATTAAATACAAAATCTTACTCCATTTTGTCTCCAAAATTATAATTTTTTCTCAAAGATTGTAAGGGATTCCTACAAAATTAAAGAATACTTCCAATACACATGATCATAGAAGATGTTTAAGAAATCTAACACATATTTGTTATAAATAGCCAATCGAACTAAATTCCTAATAAATTTAATAAAATATAAAATATGAAAAAAGATTTTTTATTATTTATGTATTTATAATTATAATAATTATATATTTTATTTTTGTGTTGAATATTTTAATTGAATTTGAATATTAAATATTGAATATTAATTAATAATATATTTATATTTTTTTAGAACATTTTATAAAATATCTCTAAATTAGTTATTTAATTTTTATATTAAAAATTGAAAATAGTAAATACTCCTGTAGTCCTAAATATAAAACTTTTATACTAGTAAAGTTTTATATTTAGGACTGAAAGAGTATTAAGCTTAATGATTCTCTGGCACAAACTTCACGGATTAATGATACAGGAGCTCGTTTGTTGGGCCTATTCATGCGCAACGGTTAGCCTATATTTATTGTGGATTTGTGTACTGAGCAACGTCCATGACATTTTCGCTTCATGTTACATGTTATTACGTGATTTAATATTTGCCACAGTCTCAAATATAATTAATTATTTTTAATAAGAAGATACTTATAATTACCAAAAAAAATTTAAGTATGCCCATTATATCATGTTTAGCTTTGCTCCTTTAGTTATATTTCACCCTTTTGAAATCAAATATTTCAAGTGAATATTATAATATAATGTTGATTTGCTTGTATTTTTGTTATTGAACTAACGGCCTGATAAAGTTTTTCTCATCATTACCACAAGTTTAACTTAGAGATTGTTTGAATGAATACCAACCCATAATTTGTGAAGGAGTCTGTCTCGATTTGTAAAAACATATTTTTTAAAAATATTTTTTTAGTTACCAAAACACCCCCTAAATAGCTTAGACGCACTTTTAGATTTTCTTTTATGGTTTGAAGAAAGACTAAATTAAAACTTAAGTAATTAAAATAAAATTTGATGCAAATATAAAAGGCTGAATGTAAAAATCACTCTCCAGCCAAGCAAGAATCATTTTCATTGTCTTTACCATTTCACTGTTCATAACAATATATAGTGATTGACTCAATCAACAGCGTCAGCCCCTTTGTGTGGTTTTGGTGGAAACTCCACTTTCATAGATTTGGTCTCATCACAACTCTAATTTAAAGATGAGATTTTTCTTTACCTTCTTTATTTTTCTCTACTCCACTATTCGTTTGATTCTTTACCAACAGCTTAAAGTAAAAAGATTTGGTAAAATTTAGAAGACCAAACATAATGTTAAACATTGCTTTAGGGAGTGTTTGGAACCATTTAAAAGCTTCCACAAACACCCTCTTAATTTTATCGAGAGGAGATGAAGAACCAAAAAATTCAAGGGACATCCACACATATCAAATATTAAGAGGATGGGGTCATGTTTTAAAAATAACAGGGACATCATGTGTAATTCAACCAAAAGAAAGAATATTATACTACCTCCTGTCCTAATTCTAAGACCTCATTTCTAGTCTATAAACAAGTTCTTATAATTAGAATCAGAGGTAGTAATAATACTAAGGGGTTAATAGCTTAATATAATTTTTGCTCTCTCAAATTTGCACAAATCTTACCTTCAGTCCATCAAATTTAAAACTATTAATTTTGAGCCTCTCAAAAAGTAAAATGATTCAAATTTTTATTAAATTATACTCATCAATATTTTGAATGGAAAAAAACTTGAGAAATTAGAAACTATGATTTTAAATTTGAGAGACCAAGGCTAAGATGAGCAAAAATTTGAGGGATAAAAATTGTTTTAACGGTAATATACTAATGTTAATATCAATTACTTCAATTTTTTTTCATAAAATTATCCTACAAGTTATGATATTCCAAAATGGTCCTTGGGAAAACTAGAGGTTGTGAGGCGCCATGGCCAAATGTTGCCAAGGAGGCGGTAACAATCTTCTCTCTCTCTCTCTTTTATTTTGGTGACTATTGTATTTCTTTGAGTAAAGCCGCATCCAGCACCCCAATCATTTTTTTTCAGGAGTACCCACCATCTCAATCTTTTTTCAGTACAATTTTACCCACCATCTATTTTTTTAGTGTAATTTAACCCAATTCCAACGGACCCCTAATATGTATTCAAGAAGACGAGTTCTCTAATATATATTCAAGAATTGGAGCCCATTCTCGATGTTTGGCTAACCGGCTCCAATGATTGTTAAGGTTGATTTTACCTTAGCAATGGAGATTTTTTATTCATTGTCTTCCTCACGACCTTCGCTACTGGAATTTGCAAGTTGTTTAGGGTTTCAATGCTTGCAAAGTCAAATTGCTCCTCTAAAACAAAAGAGACGGAGTATGAAGGAAAATAAAAGTAAAATTTCAAAGTAAGGTTGTTACCCTTCCAAATCAAGACAACTTCCCTCGCACGAATTTGTTGCCTTCTCCTTCACTAGTGCTAGTGTTCCCAATCACACAAATAGGTGGGGTTCTGGTGCTTGCACAGTAGGTGCACAAGCTTGGTTTGTTTTTTCCCTTCTTTGTATTATCTGTCAATTTTTATCCTCTCAGCCGTGTTGATGTGGACTTATTAAAAAAAAATTTTAACAAACGTTAGGAGGTCTATTGAAATTGAGTTAAATTGTACTAAAAAAAATAGATGGTGGATAAAATTGCACTGAAGACCAACTTTACCCTTTTTCTTTTGTCCATGGGCCATGGCTTCTCTCTCTCACTCCACTCTTCCACTCTCCTCTCACCACATCTTCCTCCTCCTCCACCTCCCACTGTTCCTGTTCTTCCACATCCTCTTAACCTCTTCGTTCCGAATTCCAACTGTCCTCACTGCCTCGATTCCTCTCTAAGGGTAGACCCAAGAAGAAACCAACGCCACCTGATGGGCTTTTGATGATCATCAATCCCATTTTGCTGTTTAACGGTGTCAGTAGTTCCACTTTCAATTTCGATACCCAGACCCTTTTCGCCACTGTCAATGTTCTCGCTGCAATTGCTCTCTCCTTGTTTCTTGGTTTTAAGGTAACAATTTTGTGTTTCCATTCTGTTTCTTCTATTTTGGTTTCGGTCTGTTCATTATAGTCTACCAGCATCACTCTATGACTCGGATGTTCGGTTCGGTTTTAAGCTTACAGAGTTTCAGTTTATTAATGAAATTGAAACCGAATCAGATTTGGCGTTGTGTAATGAAGTTATACAGAAGATTCTCTTACGGCGCCATTTACTGTGAGCTCATCTTTGGAGTTGCAAAATGGGATTTTACTCTTCTCTCGATACCATATGGTTTCTTTCGAAAATTTGCATAAGCGACATGCATTGCATCCATTGATGCATTCAATATTGCTTCCAATCTTTATACTGCGTCTGGTAACATTGTGTGTCAACGTTGATTCTTCTTCTGCTAATGTGATGAGGTTTTTACTGGGGGATCCTGTGCCTTGTGAGCGTTGTGGCGGCAGGGGTAATGATCTTTCTATATCTCGCCTCCAGATTGTCGTGCTTTACTCACAATGGGCATTTCTGCTTTCAAATGCTGTGCTTCAGGGGAACACGGCAGCGTCGCGAATCAAAAGGACATATAGGTAATTTCATTCTGTGTCATTTTTAAGCCTTAGCTGCTTGAATTAAAATTTCATATATTCAGATTTTTTTTTTTTTTACGGATTTTCCCTTGTAGTAGATGATAACCTGAAAACTTAACTTTAAAGTATGACCTCTTTCATTTTATTTAATTTACTCTTCACTCCTATCAAGTACAAATTTTTTGATTTTCGCATGGTATTGCTAGGACTCCGGTTAAATTATGTTTCAAAACCTACTTAAATCAAGTTTATTCTTGAGTTTCTAAACCCAAAATTCAAAATATGACAATTTTCAACTATTTCAGAGATGTTTAGCACTATTAAGGAATACTTAATTTTAATTTTAATTTAATTGTTATCTTTTATTATTGATTGTTGTTTGCATATAATTTTAAAATTTAAAAATATTCTGTTATTAATTTTTAGGATTAGATTGAAACCTATAAACAATATCTAAACACCTATGTTTTGTTCGTCTTATAATTTGATTAAATAGTAGACTGGCATAACTTCTCGTGTTTTTTTTTTTTCCTCCGCCAACTTTACAATACATGCATGAGAATTATAATTTGACAAGAGTGAAAACAATGCACAACAGAAAGGAAGGTGGAAATGTCATTTTCAGCCACTAAATAAATGTAATAACATGAAAAATATAAATATGTACAAAAGATTTAATTTGCAGCAAGCGCATGCCTCCATTTTGTTTGAGCTCACTGTCAACTGTCAAGTGGTTGTTCCAACTTTTCTCACTGCTTGGAAGGGCTCTCCATCATCAAACTCATCATCTACATTCATCAATGAACTTATCATCACTAGTGCTGACACTACAGCCTTCGTCACTACTTGTGTTTCGCCATCTCTCAACATCTTCTTTACACAACACGCGCCACCCACACTGCACTATTTTCAAAGGTGACTCCTCTGATTCATCCGCTATGTCAAAAACCATTTGAAGTGGTTTTTCCGCAATAAATGAGGAAAAACGAATGTAAATGATACATAGTTGGTGGCAAAATCTGGACTGCGCATAAGTGGTATAAACACGACCTGAATTTGGATATTCACCTTCAGAAACTCTATAAGTCCAACTAAGTACAGCAACATCATCATAGTTGGCGTGTTGCAAATCATTTTCTAGCACTAGGCATACAGCTATGCCCCACCATTCACTTGAACAGCATGAATCAGGCTTATTTACTATGAATGACACATTTGTTGGATTGTACCGAGAAGTGAGATCTTCCGCACAAAAATAGCTTTGATTGTGAAACCATGATGGCACTTCACTACCAGGAATAGTTAATATGCGAGTCGGTTGCAGGAAGAAGTCATCCTGTGATGAAAATTATTCATGTTAGATGTATACTAATTAATGTGTAACAAATAGTCAAATAAGAAAATCAAATAAATTAGAAATTCTAGAGATTCAAATAACTCACAACTTGTGACTCGTTCCGTCTCACAATTGCAGACGTCATGTCACTGAAAGTGTAAACTTTATATCCGTCTACTGATGAGAATTCAGATCGGCATGAAGTCTATAACAAAAAATTTGGTATGTTATGGAATTATAATGACTGATGTGAAACAAATGATAGTGAAGAGAACTACAACAAACCTGATATTCAAATTCCTCAGTGAATTCCCATAGTTGTTGTGAGCACACATAATTTTTCAATAATGGACAATCACCAGCATGTATCTTTGACAGGTTTGCTGGAAGTTGAGGCAAAGACCGAAGCCTTGGGCAGTCATTCAAATAAATAAATTCAAGCTTTCGAAGTTTGGAAATGAAGCTCAAAGGAATTTCAACAAAATTATTTCCACCCAAACCTAATGCTGTCAATGATGATAAATTGCCTATTTCACTGAATAGTGATTCATCATCAAGATTGCAACCATTTAAACGTAACTCGACCAAAGATGATAGATTTGAGAAATATGGAGACCACAAAAACTTAGTTGAACTTGAAGGCCTTTGAAGCCTAAATGCCCGCTTGAGAAGAGAGTAGTGATTCCACGAGGATGATTGTGCAGAAGCATTGCATGCACTAAGAGATAATTTTTTCAAATTATTGAGGGACGAAGGCACTTCTTTTAGAGCAGTCCCACCCACATCAAGCACCTCCAATGCCTCATTTTCATTCAAATTCTCTGGAAGCCTTGACAACTTTGAGCAACCACGAATATTGATCTCCTTTATAGCTTTCAATTTTTTAAAATCACTTGGAAGACATACTAGGGTTTTGCAATACTTTAAATTTAATATAGCAAGACCAGTTAAATTGACCAATGACTGAGGCAGTTTGGATATAGCAGTCCCTTTTACATTAAGCTCTGATAAACATGTCATGCCTTTACCAAACTCAGGAAGCCTTTTAACTTTTGAACAACCAGAGAGAATAAATGTCTCTAAGCAATTCATCTCCAATTTGGTTGGAAGATTTTTAATACTTTTGCAACCTTCAAAATTAACAATGACAAGATTCTTGTGTTGCCCGAGAGAGCAGTGAACTTCAACAAGCTTTGTACATCCTTTAAGAATTAATCTTTGAAGATTAGGGGTTCTATCAAAATTTGATGTTCTCATCAGGTTTGTTGAATGACTCAAATCAATGAACTTTAGACTTTGTAGAAACTGCAAAGAACCAAAAAGAAAAAAAGCCTTCAAAAACCAAGAACTAGCAAGTGATACGCATGTAATAAATTATAGACAAACAAATTTAAGCGAAGGACCTTAATTACCTGATCTCCTCTCCAAAGTTCCTTTAATTTGCTGTGTTTCATTTCAAGATCAACAAGTTCATCCAATTGAGTTTGACTTGGCAGGAAATGTAAAGGATACCCCTTCCATTTTATGACTTTCAATGAGTTGGGCAGGCACTTAAGTCCATGAAGAAGATTCAAATGGCCAAGTGAAGAATGTGATATGATAAGTAACCTGAGATTACTCATATTTGAGAAGGCTTCAGGGTCCAAATATATGACATGTGCTTTGTCAAATTGTACCACCATACCACGGATTGTTTCAGTTCCCTATATATAGACAATAAGTCAAGCTAATAATAACACGAAAAATGCATGGAATACTACCTCTGGTCGATAATATTGAAGCTAAATAACTAATTCTTGGATATTAAGTAAATTAGTTAACTTAGTTATTTATAATAAATAAGTATTGTTTTCACTAAATTATCCTTGTTAATCATGTATATTGAAATTACCATTTGATGAAAACTCTTTAATATATGCAATCACCATAAGAACTACCTTGAAAAAAATAGATATATGTGATAGAAAAAATGGATTAAGCTGGTCTTATATTGATGACTAGATTAGATCTATAATTAACTCTCATATTAACAATAATATGTAGTATATCACTAAATTAAGAATGCATAATCACAAAAAGGGGAAAATGTTACCCTCTTATTTCTAAGCACAAGGTTAGCATCCTCCAAGGACCATATTCTGCTACGTTTGCCAGCTTCATTGGGTGACTCACGAAAAACAATTTCCTTACCCATTTCTTGCAACATGTCATGCACCCTCAAGAACCCATTAACCTCAGTTACCAATGATTTCTCGATAAGAATTTTTATTCCAATTATTGGGCGAAGACCACTATTTTCTAAAATTTGTATGACTTTATCCTTGGCCATCCCATTATAAAAGCAAGCAACATCTAAGAATATAGTCTGCTCATTATATTCTAGTCCATCAAAGCTCACTTTAAGTATATTGAAAATGGGATCTGAAGAAGAAATCTTCTTGAGTGCATCCTCCCATTCTATTGTATTTCTTCCGCAAAGAAATGAACCAAACACTTTGAGTGCCAATGGAAGTCCTTTGGTAGATTCAATCACAGTTTCAAAAAGCTTCAAATAATCTCCATTTGGTTGATCTCCTTTAAATGTTTTTTGCAGAAAAAGTTGACGGGACTCAACCTGACTTAAAAAATTCATCTCATATTGAGAAACTCCATGCTGAACTAACAAATGCTGATCTCTTGTTGTTATTATTATTCTACTCCCTTTACCAAACCACCCTTTCTTTCCGGCCAAATTCACAAGCTGGCTAATGTCACTGACATCATCTAGGATAAGTAGAACTCTTGTATTGCACAACATTCTTTTGATTAACTCCCTTCCATCGTAATAATTACCCACTTCCATTCTGATTCTCCTTTTCGGATGAGAAAGAAGTTCCTTTTGCAATTCAATTAAACCACCATCTTGTGCAGATTTCTCTCGCACATTATGAAGAAAGAAATGAAATTCATAGTTCTTTTTTATTCTCTCATAAATAGCTCTAGCAAGAGTAGTTTTGCCTAGCCCTCCCATTCCCCATATTCCTACAAATTGAACTTCCTCCGATTTATTTGCTAGAAATGAATCAAAGTCTGCTATTTTTTCATCAATTCCAACAAGTTCATCATCATCTTCATCATTTGAATCAAAAGGTGGTTGATTATCTATTTTTGACCTCACCATTTCAGTAACGATTTCAATGAGTTTCGTTTCATACCTAAAGAGATAACAGAATAATAACATTAGTACTAAGTGTAGCCCAAAGTCACGATAATTTTTTGAAGTCATAGAAACTACCAATTTTTAGAGCTCCAGCCAGCCAAGTCAGCAACTTCTCTCAAAGCATCCCTCCATCTTTGCACCTTCCCTTTATCGTTTGCAAATTTCTGGTCATGCTTTTCAAAGGCTTCTGCAAAACTTCCTTTCTGATGCCGAACATCAGACGGGTCTACGCCATAAAAGATTGGAAAAACATGAAGATCCAACACTTTCTTAGAATGAAGGATCTTTAGGAGTTCATCTAAGCACCATGTGGATGCAGCATAGTTTTTAGAGAGAACAATAATTGCTGACAAAGATTCTTCAATTGCTTGAAGCAAACTTGGTTTGATAATTTCTCCCCTCCCAAGTTCTTCCTCATCTCTAAAAGTTATCAGTCCATTGAGACACAAAGCAGCATATAAGTGGTCTGCAAAATTCTTACGTGTGTCTTCTCCTCGAAAACTTAAAAACACATCATACTTGTGTCTTCTATTTGAACGGCAATAGCTTGAAGAATATCCAACTTCTTGATCATCAAGCGCCATTGTGATAATTCAAAAGCTGGACCATTCAAAATATAAATACAACCGTCAGACTGTGAACCGACTTTAAACCCAATCTGAGATAGAACATAGGTTCTTGCACAAATTAAAGAAAGTATAATCCCAAAATACATTATCAACTATATATAACTGCATTTTTATTATTAAATAAGGAAGAAATTCAAAAGAATATTGGATTAAATTATAAGTACTTTATACCTATTTATTTTTGATTATTTTGTTTTTCTTGATTGATTTTATAAATATAAGAATGAAATTATCAGCTCAAGTTTCTCATTTGACCGTTTTAGCCATGTTCCTCTGGGCAAAACGACTTTTAATTAGTTTACTTGAAAAACAGAAAAGCATGGTTGTCTTGTGTGATTCTTCATCAGAAAAATTTCAGTCAGCCCCCTCTAAGCAAACTTATTTTTCAACACCCCCCAAAGATTTTGAAACTTCATTCCACCCTTTTGAACAAGATGAAATTAAATGTTATGGGTGAAAAGACTATTATACCCTTTTTTAAAAAGGTTAAATGTCAAAAGTTGCATGAACAACTAAAATAAGGTGATTTACAACACAAATTAGACAATTTATAAGATGTATACAGAAACTCACAACTCTATTGAGGTTCTATGAAGAGAAAAGTTAAATGTCAAAGAGTTGTATGAACAACTGAAATAAGGCAATTTACAACACAAAGTAGGTGATTTATAAGATGTACACAAAAATTTACAGCTCTAATTGAGGTTCTGTGGAGAGAAAAGTTAAATTTCAAGGGTTTTATGAATAACTAAAACAAGACAATTTACAATACAAATTAGACGATTTATGTGAGGTATATGGAAATTCTTAACAACATACAAGATAATTAACAATAAAAATTAGACAAAAATAGGTTCTCGTGAATGGCCTAATTGATTTGTAGCTAATTAAAGAAATAATTGTGAACCACTTAGTGCTCTAATGATTGAAGCAATTTTATTTCTTTTATTGCTTTCAATTTATAATTTTATATACGTATTTCTTTTCCTAATAAATTTCAATTGTGTTGGATTGGAATTAATTGGATTGACAAACCACAACTTAAGCTTGACAACTAAAATACTAGGGGTAAATTTTATCAATATGATTGGCTCTGTACTCCACCTTAATTGTCATCTATACAAGCTTAATTAAAGAGTGGGGTAACGCTAATTTTCATTGCAAATCGCCTTGTTTTATTTGTTTATGCAATCCTTAACACTTAATTTTTCTCTTCACAAAACCTTAAATGAAATTGTGAATTCTTGTATACCTCTTGTAAAGCACCTAATCTGCAGTGTAGATTATTTTATTTTGGTTGTTCATGCAATCCTTAACATTTAACTTTTATCTCCACTAAACCACAAATGGAGTTATAAATTTCCTTATCCTTCTTGTAAATTGCCTAATTTGTGCCTTATTTTAATTTGAACACTTGTATTTGTTTTGTTGTATATATTTCTCTTACATTATATGACTAAATGCATCGAATGACTTGGTTGTCATAATCTTTTGGTATACCAAAGAATCATGGGTTCAAATTTCCCCATGGCCAATTATTTCAAAAATAAAATTCTCCAACAATTGGAGCTTTGATGACCAGCCACTGGCACTCCAATGGCCTGCTGTCAGAGGTCAAAGCTCCAGCTGTTAACCAGCCACTAACACTCTAATGGCCGATTGTTGAAGGTTAGAGCTCCGATGGTGTTTGATCCTTTTTAAAAAACTAATAATAATAATAATAATAATAATAATAATAATAATAATAATAATAATAATAATAATAATAATGCAACGGCATAATGGTCTTTTCACTCGTACATTTAATTTCATTTTGGTCAAAAAAAAAGGTGGAATGAAGTTTCATTGTCTTCTGAGGGCTGTTGGAGAATAAGTTGGTTTAGAGGGAGTTGACTGAAATTTTCCCGTCTTCAAAAAGCATTGGAATCCAAGACTGGGGTGAAACGTTTAGTCAAGACATCTATAGTTTCTTCCTTTTCTATTAACTCGAAACATGTGGACCCTAATCACGTAACGACTATGAAAAGAAATTAATCGTTTTAAAGCATAACAAACTTTGTGAGAATTGTATAGGAAGACCATCTTTTGAAAAAAAGAAAAAGAAAAAAAGGAACGAAAACTGACACCATTATTAGTTAATCAGATGGTATGAAATTGGTAGTTGCGTACGATTAAGAAATAACAGACAAAAAATTATATGAGGAGAAGTTTTGAAACGGTTCCTCACTAATAAAAACACATTGGTCCCGTTTGATATAAAACATTGAGAACAAGAGATAAGAATTGGGATTGAAACTGAAAAAATATATTAAAAGAGTGTTTAATGTGAGTAATTATTTGCTATATATACAATAGGCAAACCCATATGGAATCAGGAAATACCACCCAGTTCCACCTACATGGGCTTGCCAAATCTCAAGTAGCAAGCAATCCTCACATCAAATTTCCTAATTCCATCTGCATGGGTTTGCCCAATTTTACGTAACAATCAATCACTCACGTTAAACAATCTTTTAATGTATTTTCTAAATCTCAATTTTAATTCTCACATCTCATTCCCAATACTTTACCCCAAATGGGACCATAGTTCATTTTCACGTCGAATTCATTACTTTACTCGCATTTAAGCTTGGAATAAAAATTGAAAAACTATCAACAACTACAAAGACTTTTTTCCCTGTGGTATGATATGGGCATGACAATGCATTAAAGAAAGGAAGAAAAATTATGGTCAAGGACCAACTTTGTAAATGTTGTTGTTCTTAAAGATCTTGAATAAGGAATTTTCTAACAAAAATATGTTGTTACTTGCAAATCAATTGGTGTCAAAACCCATTAGGACGTATGGGAACCAAACTTGATTTAAAATTTAGTAATTTCAAGCTTCGTTTTATGAGATTCTCTCTTCCCTTTATTCTTGACAATTTCCATATGATCAAATAGCCTCTTTCTCCTTGTTTGATAGTGTCAATTTTCGTGGATATGGATTATTTTGTGAAATTTTGGAAGAATATAGCATCTTCTATCAGATGGAACTCATAGTTGGAGATTCAGGGCCAGCACGGGAGTGAATTATTGGTGAAGGGTTTTCATGGTAGGATCTGAGCAAACGACTTCATAGATAGATTCCAAAAACAATTATACGAACCAACTAGACCATCATTCAAAAATAAATATATATCAAAACGAACCAAACAATTTAGATTGGCTACACAAGCGACAGAGTACAAATATAGTTGGAAGGGGTGTGTCTTATGCTTTGAATATGGAAACCCTGATGAAAGCGAAACTAGGCGAAACAAGAATGAAGAGAAACAAAGAAACCCGATTCAAATTCTGAAACGAATGAAGTAAATAAAGAGCGAAAGTTACTTACTCAAGTCCTTGGAAGGTATACAGGGATGATCTGATGCCTGAGAAGAAGGAAGAAGATGAGATAACAATAGCAGTAGTGTCCTCTTTGATGAATTGTGACTTGCTTGCCTTAGTGGGGAAGATGCTTTAAAGTGATGCAATCCTTTAACCTTATTCAATGGATGCGGGCCCTGTCAAAAAGTACATGTATTAATTCATCCATTACCATTAAGTATTCTTCTTCCTCCTTGAAAAGCATACCGTTTAGTCTTCTTGTAAGAAAAAAATGTTTTGCGCGTAAGATCAGACAAGGGGCAGCCACTCACTCCTCGTCTTCCTGAAAGGGATGTGTTTAAATTTATTTGTGCGCGTCTGTGCGAATATATCCTGATCCTAAATATAAGATTTATTTTATAATATAAGTTATATTATAAAATGAATTTTATAAGGAAGGAGTATTAATATTTTTTGGATCCCATTTGAGACGCAACTTACAATGTCTCCATGTGAATGCAGCATTTTCCACAAACTATTGTGCCAGCAAACAAAAGTGAGGATGGCAAAGGCCACGGGAAAAGTGACTGCTTTGCATTTTCTTGTGGCTCCACACGCTTTACTTTATATTCCCGCCATTTTTCTATGTCCTTCTCTTTGACCCAACTTACATCGTAGGCTCCACCACTCTTTCCTCCTTCCTTCGTGGTAACTGGTAAGTATATATAGAATAATTTTTTTAAAAAGAAAAAAGAAATACGATATAAAGTAAGAAAGATTGGGGGGACACAATCGCTCGTTGAAAATTTTATTGATGAAAATGTGAGATATATCGAGGCAAGATCTTGGTTGGACTAAACATCTTGGGTTTTTCTTATTTTCTTATGCTTCCTATTTGTTTTTCAACGTTCTCATTTTATTCGTATGACTTTGTGTCAATTTGTGATCGACTTGGCAAATGCACGAAGTTAATGCTTTTAAATAAATATAAATTTAAGAATCTCAATTAGAAGTGTTTGTGAGATAATTAGAACAAGACAGACTTTCTGTCTCGTGTTCTTTCCTAATTCCAATAATATCGCATCATGTTATGAACGGGATAGGGACATCTCTGTTTTTTTTTTTTAATTTCAAAACCAAATATATTTAGGATATAAGAAATTATGATAAAAATTCTGCAAAAAATATATTAAAAATTCGCTCAAAAAATAAAGTAATCAAAAATTTGCAAAGAAAAAGGTTTTCTTTTAAATGACAGAATATATATCAATTCAAAATATCTGCTAAAAAAACATTATATGAGCCATACAAAAAAATTTGCAAATTGTAGAAAAACTTATAAGTTGCAATCACCATTATTATAGTTATTCGACATTTTATAATATATCAGGAAAAAAAAAACTGATGATGCGCGGGTACTCTTCTAGGATGTATAAAAATTTAAATACATCCCTTTCAGGAAGACGAGAAGCGAGTGGCTGCCACTTGTCTCTTGCACACATATCCCTTTCTTGATTGATTATACATTTTCCCCCACGGTTTTTTTTTTTTTTGATCCAATTTTTCCCCACGGTTTATCATTCGCCTTTTCTTTCACCCAACTTGGGATCGGTTTGGATTGGC